TAAATTATGGCGTATGACAATCATTTGTTCCCCCAGCAAGAAAAGGAGTATCATAGCACTGAGAGAGTTGTTGAAACACTTGTGTGGCTGTTAGTAATTAATTGGGCATAGGTATTTGGGAAATTTACATGCAACTCTCCTAGGCTTTTAGTGACGGTAAATGATAGATGATAGATAGATAGATACTTTATTTATCCCGAAGGAAATTCAAGCATCCAGTAGCAGCATACAAACATACATTAGACATACATTAAAATTAAAATTAAACTTTTGCAGAGGAATTAAATATGTGCAGAGACAGAAAATAAACTAGAAAAAAAAAATAGAAATGAAACATGTGCAGGAAAAAAACAAATATTGTATGATAAACCGGGTCAGAGGCTCCTGCTAAGGTCAGGTTGCTCGGTGCGGTGCTCAGCTAAGCTGCTGACTGTTGAACCGTCCTTGTCTGAGTGACAGCCGGGGAAGCCTCCGCCCAGAACCCGCTACAGCCAGGCGGACGGACTCCCTACCGCTTCCACCGGCTACCAGGAGCTGCAGGAATGACCGACAATATCCCCTTACAACCCGTGAGACGACAGAAGCGACACGACAGTAAACACAGAAATGGGTAAGGGCGTTGTTGTACAGCAGCGGAGAACATTAACACGGAGACATTTGTTTTTGAACGTATCTCGCTGAGCTTGATGTCGGAGAGTAGACGTTAAATTGTTTACAGCAGCGCGTCGACATTGTCTCAATAAACTACGCTAAGCGGGTTATAGGGAGGAAAAATAGATACGTTGATATGTTGATGTGGCCGTAATTTTTACTCTTTTTTTTTTTAATAAGCTAGCTAGAGCTAGGAGATATCCTTGTTCCGGGGTGCAGTTGGAGCAAGTGCATTTGACGCCCATGTCAATATTTGCTCGGTTGACTGAAGCTCAGTCTGTCAAAGAGCATAAATGTTAGGCCCCTGGCTTAAAAGGGAGCTGTATAAACCCTAAATTCACATGCTAGCCAGCCAAATGGTGCTTTGTAGGTTTGTTTTTGCACATCACATAAAGGGACAGGCCTCATAATAATGATGATGAGGAGGATGATGAAGAAAGCACGTACTGGGCAGACACAGTGCTGAAATGCAGCCAATAGTCTCATCAGGCTAACGTGGTGATGTCACCTCCTGTAATAAACACATTGTTTCAAAGGCTCAAAACCTGGAAATGAGCTGTTATAATGCAGTAATATTGTTGTTAGCTGCTCAATGTGCTGTATTATCTGCAGTTAGGAGCATCATTTATAGTCAAAGTTGATCCATCATTGTCCAGTTCACCTGTCCCACCCTGTAGCATGGTAGTTATACACTCAGTTGCCACTTTAAGGGGCACTAATGCAAAAAGACCTGCAATAAATCCAACCTTCATTAACGTTATAATGTTCAGTTTTCAGCTCATTTATATATAAACGAGGCTACATGACAGAAAAACCTCTCTGTATAATGCAATATAGTCCAGTAGCACCACAGACTGCATCATTATGTTGAATCAACACTTCTCTTAAACAGTCTGAACAAACACTGAGCATCATAACCTTCATGAGGGGAGGATTTATTGCAGGGCTGTTGTATTAGACTGCATTAGTTTATATATATATATATAATTAGTAAACACACTTTGTCCTGTTTCAGGTCTAAAGAATTAAGATCTACAGTAACACTGAATAAGTTAATTAATTGATTAGTCGACTGATAGAAAATTAATTGGCAACAATGATGAATTAATTGCCATTTTTTGATGAATGATGACACATCCAACTGTAGGTTGGACAAAACAAGATGTGAATATGTCAGCTTGGGATTTTGGACATTTTCAATGGCCACCTTTTCACTATTTGTTAATATTTTATAGAAATAAAACAAGGGTTAGTGCACGATCCCTCAGTATGTTGAGCTGATATTTTGGATTCTGAACAATATATGGTGAAACTATCGAAACAAAAGAAGCTAAGCTGAATTCAGCTATTGTTCATTTTATTATTCACACTTGTGCTTTACCTGTTTTGACATGTCAAAATGTCTTCTGGTTAATCTACAGTAGGGATGCACTGTAGCTGTCTCTGTGAGAGGCTTCTGGGGTCTAAAAAGAGGAACACAAACATTATTGTAAATAATTTAAAGAAACCAGGGGTTGCTTAACAATGACGGAGCTCTTTTTTTTAATCCTTGCAACATATACAAGAATTCTATCTTTAAATACAGTATATATCTAACATACTGTGGGCCTTCCTGATATAAGCTCACACAGAACGCTACTAAAAACGAAACAGCAGTAGAAAAGCTGTCAGGCGTCTCAGACGGCTTTTGAAGGGTGAATATTGTTTTGTTTGTCGAGTCATCTTCTAGAAAACTATGGCTTCCTCAATACCCTTTCTCTGAATGGTTTGCAGCTAATAGAGGCTTCATATTTGCCACAGCCTTTATACAGTCTTTAGTCTGTATTTTTAAAACTTTCAAAGTTCAATTATTAATCCTGAGTTCACTGGGCTCTCAGTGGATTGATATGGCGTGTTTTGTGAGCGAAGGGAGTAGCCACCCTTTTCCACATGAAGTTAATGTTTATTTTGCCAAGGCACAATCTCCTCAGACTCCACGGTCATGCATGTCAAGCTCAGCCATGTCTGTTCTGTGGGTTTTATAGCTGCATTAAGCAACACATTAACTAAGAGATGTGACAAGAAATTCATTAAAATGGAGCTGTTATCTCGACAGTGTCACACAATACAACACAGGCTCATGAGACGAACTACACAATCTTCATTTCAAAGTGAAAGAGCCTGCATTGATCACCTACATCTTAAATATATAGTTCATTTCTTCATCAACTATCTGATTGCTAATGGTGAAACTGAATGTGAAATTCCTGAGCCTTCCCCACCTCTTCCTCTCAGGTGCTGCCCGTGGTCGAGATGCTGTGGCATGGGCGACTTCCGTCCCCGCACCGTGTGGCTCGGCCACCCAGAAAAGAGGGAGCAGAGGTACCCCAGGAATGTCATTAACAACCAGAAGTACAACTTCTTCACCTTCCTGCCTATGGTAAGTGTCAGTCAAAGGTCACCCCCCTCCACCCTCCCTCCCCCTTTTAACCCCCTAAACCACCACCCACCTCTCTCCGCCTGGCCCTGATTCACTGTCACTTGTCAGACACATTTTACCATTAAGACAGTCATAATATTTGGAATCTGGTCACCTTGGCTGTCTCCTCTCACTGTTGGTTAATAATGTGGGTGGTCAACACATTGGAGCTCATTGTAGTGTGTGTCTCATTTTAAATCACTGTGGATTAGAGGGTCACATTAGGGCTGCACGTATTTTTAGTATTTTGACAGTTATCATAACCCAAAGAGAATCACTTTACAATAAAATAAAACAGAGAAAAACAGAAATCACTCACATTTTAGAGGCTGCCACCAGCAAATGTTTAACATTTTGGCTTGAAACTATTAAGCAATTAACAAAATAGTTAGTGAAAATCAATAAATTGACAAACTATCTCAGCTGTAGATCACATTCATGCCTCAACTGTGAATATTATATGTGTTTTTAATATAATAATATCTAATCTCACAACTACATATTAGCATACTTCTGGATGCTTAGACAAAAGGCTGGTGACATATAAATATATATATATATATACATACATACATATATATATGAATTATGCCAGAGGGCATTTTCTGCCTGATGCAAAGTTTGCACTTTCATAGAAATGTGCCGGCCTGATATGCTGGTTAGGCTTGGTTTGTAAATGAAATATTGATTACTTTCTTCGGTTCACTTGCCGGATGTATAAGAAACTCACCAGTCATTCATAAATGGTGGAATGTCTTACGTTAAAGTGAAGCTCTTTAAATCGAGGGGAAAAAGAAGAGTGACGGATAGTTTCAGCCACATTTGGACAAACTGCTACATGGTCTAGTAGCACCAGATCTTCACGATTACATTCACCTTCTTAGAAGAAAATGGTGGTGACAGATGTAATATTGGTTAGAGATTTGTTACACGGACAGCAGTTTTTGTAAGCTGTGCTTTTTTTGACCCTCCGTTTTTTCCCGGCCTGATTTACATATCCATTTGTTTTCCCGACATTCAGTTGTCTTAAGATCTTATGCCTTTTTTTGTATATGAACTCAGACATTGAAAGTAGCCAGATTTGTTTGGAAAGCAGAAGATGAGCTCAGCCATTTTGCATTGCAAATTGTGATTCTTTTGATTTACGTTTGTTCATGTCAAGAAGTTCGTCTCACTAGAACATATGGTAGTCTTGATGTTTCTGTGCATGGTGTCATGTTCTCTACTCTCCACTTGGAAATGGTGTACAGTGGCAATGTGAAGACACAAGTTTTCCCTTGATAGTAATCTTACACACTGGTGGTAATGAAATTGTTGCATGAGTGTTAATTTTAAGAATGACATAAGAATATGTTTTACAACGTGCGTATTGTTCCATATGTCTTAGGTTAGTAAAAGGATTGCTAGGTTAAAACTGGGCTATATGCAGTTGAACGTAATGTTGGGAGGGCTGGGTGACATGTCAATATGTAACATCAGGTTGTATACAGTCAGCCGTACAGTTTATATTCATTTTCTTATAGGTTTATAAGGCTAATGTGGACGATGTAGCTAATCAGTGGTGACAATATTGGATTTTATTGTTGGATCAAGTTTTTAATTTACTGGATTTTATCCAAAAATAGTTTTGTGTTGTTTTAATTAGAGTTACAACAAAATATTATTTTCAGTATTGATTCATTTGCAGATTATTTTGACAATGAAGTGTCAAAATCAGAGAAAACAGAATCACTTTTATTGCAAAGTAGGTTTTCACATTAACAATAGACAATATTGCAATTTCCTTAAAGGCCAGGCTCTTAAGATTGTTTCCAACAGGTCAAAAATCTTCACTTTAAAGTCTTTAAAGACTTTAAAAACAGCAAATATTCACATTTGAGAAACAACAACCAGTGAATTTAGAATTTATGCTTAAAACAATCAGTGTTTTTTTCAAAATAGTTGCCATTTATTATACCATTGTTTGGCTTATCAATCAATTGACTCATTGCTTCAGCTCTAATTGTGATTATATATGTATATAATGATATAGAATTACATGTGATAGAGAATTTCAACCATATTGCCCACTCCTACCTTTTAGATTACTGTTTGCTAGGATACTGGATCTGATCTGTAGATAAAAACATCTCATTCTAAGGTAACGATTCAGATGATTATACACTAATGAAAGCATACCTATGAACATTACATTCCATTTCTGCCAATAGATCCTCCTAAATGTTACACTCTGGACCTTTTAAAGTCATTTTTCATTTTCTAAATGTACGTTCATAGATGCTTAGGTGACCTTTTCATCTACAGGTCATCAAAATAGTGTTGTAATAAGGCACAATGATGTCAAATACATTTTCTATCAAAATCAGTCATCAGTCATGGTCTGAAAAAAGATGAAGTCTAGCAGTAAATGTCAAATACAGGCACATGCACAATAATTTGCCACACAGCAAATATTTCAATCTGTGCTTCTTTCTCATTTATGTTCACAGGTGCTGTTCAATCAGTTCAAGTACTTCTTCAACTTGTACTTTTTGCTTTTGGCCTGCTCTCAATTTGTCAATGAGCTACGCTTAGGTGCACTCTACACCTACTGGGTCCCTTTGGTATGTGGCATTTAACAAAGCTTTGTTCCCCATAATTGTCTATTATCATGGTCAATCAGTTGGATTTTTATACTTAATTTGTGTTCAGTGTATCTCAGGTTTTTTTTTTTTGTTTTTTTTGGATGGAAATGTTCAGAAATAACATGTAAAGTTGGTTTGTTGTTCTCTACTGTGGAGAAAATTGTTAAGATAATTTTAACATTTCGCTCTTCAGGGTCTTGTTTTGATTATTACCATCATGAGAGAGGCCATTGAAGAAATAAGATGCTACCTTCGAGACAAAGAAGTCAACTCTCAGATTTACAGCAAGCTTTCAACAAGAGGTAAGGATCAGAAGCCCGGACAACACTGGTTATGTTTTGTCTGTATTGATATCTAAACCATGTTGCTTATTTCTCAGCATCAGCGTCTATTAACTGTAGGAGGTTGGTCCTATTAAAACTTATTGGGGCTAGGGGAAATGGTGGGTAATTCAAAGCAGAGATGTAAAAGTGTACATAAGAGGCCTTGGTATAAAGTGCTACCAGCAATAAAAAGCAGGAGACCTCTTGTGGTTTCCATCACTTTGCCCCTTTGATGTGGCAGCTTGTTTTACCCATAAACACAATGACTGGTTGCCTCCATGATAGCAGCCCCCATGCATATCTTGTGGTTTATAGAAACTTCATGATGTCAGAACTCGGTGTGTTGTTTTTTAGTATAGGAGGAAGAAACTGGTTGAAATTGTGATGTTTAGTTTTGTTTATAAAATGTCAAAAAATTGTGGAAAATTCCCATTTTAATTTCCCACTGCTCAAGGAGATGTATTCCAGTTGCCCCACAGTCCAAAAAAAGATATTCTGTTTACTGTCATGTATGACAAAGAAAAGCAACACATTTTCACATTTGAAGAGCTGGAATCAATTAAAACCAGTGAATGTTTGGTAATTTTGAGAGATTAATCGATCATTAAAGTAGTTTTGGTCTTAATTTTCTGTTGATCTATGAATTAATTGATGTTTAGCAACACATGTGCTTTTCCTCTGTAAAGTAATCTGTAAAATGTTTTAACTTTAGTGGAACGGAGCACTGATGTGAAGTCCCTTGAACCCCAATGCATAGCAATATTAATGTGCTTTAATGTCTTACATATGCAAAGCCCAGAGGTCGCGACAGAGGTCAAGGGTCAGTGATCTCTTCCAAACAATTTTGCCTGTTCATTCCAAACGAAATGAGACAAAAGGCTCAACTCCCCCAGCATTCTTTCAAATCTACAAGGAAAATTGCCTTCCCAAATGTGCACTGGGGTGACTAGTGAGGCAACAATTCAATCATATTTAGTCACTTTATGTGTATTCCATAAATCCAAAATATATGTTAAATTATTAAAAATGGAATGGTCCATCTTTATTGAAAACTTTAGCTATGTAATTGGCGGATTGGAATTTCATATATTTTGTAGCGTATGCAACCATTATTGTAAAAACCTCATTAACTTTGTTTTGTGTTTCAGGCACAGTGAAGGTTAAAAGCAGCGGTATTCAAGTTGGAGATCTTATAATCGTGGAAAAGGTTTGTTAAAGATTGTTTCATCCACACCTGTGAATAGTTTTGCCTTTTAGGACTGTCAAGTTACCATTTATATGACAGCGAATAATGAGGGGGTTGTTAATCTTCGGTGCTCCACTGGTGACTGAGGTGAAAGGAGTTAGTAAAGATTTTGTAATCTTGTGATCAATGCTGAGCCTCAGCCTGTCAAACTTAATACATGCACAACAGAAGTGAACCTAAAATGCCTTTAATTAGATCTTAAGCACAAATTCAATTATGTACTATTTTCTTAAAACTATTTTTTGATCTTGAAATCCCATTTATAGTTGTTTCAAATATCCAAGTAAGTTTGAGTTTTCAGGGCAATCTGTTTTGTTGCTCCTCATGTGGATTGTCTGATGTCTTTGTACATGAAATATGAGAAGTCAGTCCTGTCTTCAGTTTCCAACTCATTTCAACGCAGCTGAAGGAAAGGTCACACATGTTGTCCTACGCATTTCACTAATATGACTGAGTGATTTAGAGTTATTTGGGTTACAATTCTGAAACGTGAACTCAGCAGCTGAGGTGAAACCAGTAGCTAACAAAAAGAAAGCTGTGGATTTTTTTAATTAACCTGCATTTTTTTGCAAGAGCCAGAATACATCTTTATTAGACTATCGAGCACTTAGCAATAATCCATGCACAGCTCAGTTTTTGGGAAGCTGTCCAGATGAATTGAACGGAGAATGTGTTTAGTGTAGTGGAGGGACCAGGTCAGGCAGAGTGTAAAACCTGGTCAGGGTCCCGTTCAGGCCACGACAGGATGATTTGCTGGAGGGCTTATTATTTTGACTGACTGGCTGTTGGTAATGTGGCACATGAAAAGCTAAAAGTCTTACTCTTCTGCAGTTTAAGAGAAGAGGAGGGAGGAGGAGAGGTGCAGAATCAGGAAGTGATATTGAAGTAATGTTTTTCTTTCTGCCTTTCTTTGTAGAACCAGCGTGTTCCTGCTGACATGATCTTTTTAAGGACCTCTGAAAGAAATGGTAAACATCTGCTGATCATTCATCCAGATCTCCACAACAGGCTGGCTGGCTTGGGAAATGACTTGTTTAAAAAGGCGCTGAGGTGCAGGGATTAGCCCTGAGCCAGGACAGGAAGTCCTACAATGTCTAAATTATAATTGGGTCCACTACTAAACTATCACTCAAAATGTGGGGTGGTGGAGAGTGCCTGCTCCGTGTAATGGTGAGATGCACTGTAGACAAAACATTTTGCCGTCTTTATCTTCGTCTATGACTCATTTTGTCTTTCAAATGAGTAGTAAATGAAAAGGAAAATCGAGGGAGACACAAAAATCCAATGCAAAGACAAAACAGGAGACATGAGAGGAGGATGCCTCATCTGAATAACCAAATATGGATAAGGACAAGATTTGTCAGTGATAACACAAACACATTTACAAAATACACACAGTTTAGTCCATTCAAAATATCATCCTCTCAGGCACAGCACACCAATAATGTCATCACAGGGAGAGGTTTTATTTTCAGGTTCTAGAAACCCAAATGTGGCTCTGTAAGAGAAGCTAGGTGCCTGTTGTTGTTGCGTCTTCCTGTTGGGGGAAGAAAAACAACAGCTTTGTTTTACTGGAAATAGTGCTTGGTTATCTCTCTTCCATGTGGAGGCCATTAGGTCAATTATGAAGTGCCTAGGCCAGGATTGCGAGTTTTGGGCAGGATGACGCACGCAGGCCAGTGGGGGGATGGGCTTTGGTGGATGCCTCCACTTCAGTCCCAACAGTAATATGCAGCAGCTTTGTCCCATTCACAGAAGTTGCCGCTATTCATTTGTGATTTCATTCTAAATTGTTTTATTGGCCCTTTTCATGTATTTATTCAAACTGGGAACAGGAAACAGTGGTGTATTAGAACAGATATAATCATAAACCTGCAACAGTTGACAGTAGTGTCAGTAGCTATTGAAATATAAACGTAGTGATCGATGCCATTGTCAAGAAAAGAGATTGTGATGTCGACCCTTTAACTAAAAGCCTATCTATTGTTGCCCCCTAGAGGTGAATGTGTTTCCATCTGGCATCAGTAACAGCTCTTGTCCTCTCCTTCTCAGGCTCCTGTTTCCTGCGGACTGACCAGCTGGATGGAGAGACAGACTGGAAACTACGCCTCCCAGTGGCCTGCACGCAGAGGCTGCCGACTGCCGCTGTGAGTCATTCAATAAAGATAGAGAGGTAGCAAGGATGAGAATGAGGAAGAAAATTGCACAGCGTTTAAGCCATTGCTGTGTGAGTAATTGCACATGCCGACCATGGTCTCAGAGAAGCAAGTCTTTCATTAGGGCAGAGTAGTGATTTAACTAGAGTGCAGGGTGGCCTGGTCATCAGAGAGTGTCATGGTTAAAAGGTCAAAGGTTTGCCTCAGGCCTGAGTTGTTCAGTGTTTAACCAGTTTGGGTTTTTAAAGGCAACTGTTCATGCTGACATTATTAGGTTTCAATTTGTCAGTAAGTCAATACATTTTGTTATTCAACCTAAATTTGGCTGTGATCTACAATATTGAAATTTTATTGAGGGGTAAGCAATGTGGGCTTTAAGATGAAGAATTAATATTTAATTGGACTGTTGGTCGGCCAAAACCAGACGCATTGAAGATGTTAATTTGGGCTCTGGGAAACTGTGATCTTCCACTGTTTTCCAATATTTTATAGACCAAACGATTAATTGATTAATCAAGATCATAATCAGCAGATTCACTTATTATAAGAGTAATTGTTAGTTGCAGCCCTGGGTCTAACTCAACCCTGAACCTCTCCCACCTGTGCTTCTGTCATCTCCTGCTCTCTGAGCCTCTGGTGACAGGATGTTTTGCTGATGCCTCTGGGTCCACAAGAAAGTGATAATAAAATAACCACAATATTTGTCTAACAAGTCCGGAGCTATTTATGTTTGGGACGTGTCATAGCAGTTTGTACAAATTATAACCTCAAGCTAAACGTCAGTAATGTAAAAGGAAAACACTGCTGCTGCATGAACTGTAAATGATCATATAAGTGATGTATTATCTAAGATAGTGACATAATGTCTGTTTGATAGTAAGTTAGACAAAGCTTTGGTTGTTCTTGTCTTCTTCTCAGTCAATCATTATTAACATTTTTTACTGTGTCATTGATCTAAACCTAATCTATGTTTTTGATGTCTCACAGGATCTTCTACAAATCAGATCATATGTGTACGCCGAAGAACCAAATATTGATATCCATAATTTTATTGGAACTTTCACCAGGGTGAGTGCTTACATTACTGTTCTGTTGAACCCTACGCCTTTCACACATGCACCCCTCTATGTTAATCTGATAGAAATTTGAAATGTCTGAATAAGTGTTTGAATCACTTGTACAGAGAAGTCATGACGGCAATCTTGCTAGCCTGGACCCAGTAACACTTCCACATCACTTTCAGCACGGCAGACGTTTAAATTGAATTTCTTTTCAATTTTCACCTCTTATGCTCAAAGAAAATATATCAAATTATCCTCTTGCAGTGCAACCAGGGTGAAAGAGGATTAAAAAAAAAACCCTTGTACGACCACAGTAATAATTTGACAAACAGTCTGTCCTTAAATTTTAAATTTTAATTTAAACTTCATGGATGAATATGAATATGAAGCAAAACGCTTTACATGCAGTCTTTGAGCTACTAGGAATACAATTAGTCCCAACTTAACATCCTGTTATTCAGTGTGCACTGTCAGATATTATAAAACAGGCAGTAGAGTTCTTGCTGTAATGGCGTTAAATGAGGAAACTGATATGAAATGCATTAGTGGATAACTGTTAGAAGCAGGGGTGAGCGTCCCTCACACATTTGGTGAAAGCACAGTGGCTCATTGCATAAATGTCCTTACTGAAGCCATTAGAAACATTAACATAATAGAAACCTATGTCTGAGTGACGAAAAGCCATCACTGTAACGGATGGATGAAGCCAGTAATCTTAGGTATTCCATGGAAAGAGCTTTTGTGTAATTCTGTTTACAAAACCTTTATTTAACAAGATAACAATTATTTGTCCTCTCAACTGTTACAGGAAGATGGAGACCCTCCAGTTAATGAAAGTCTCAGCATTGAGAACACCCTGTGGGCCAGCACCGTTGTTGCCTCCGGTAAATATGTGACTGATGGAGCAGCTCAATACTCAGGAAGTCACCAGGACCAGTCTTGACTCTTAGCGCTGAAGTTGCTTCACAACTGTTGATCTGATGATTTGTCAAACCAAACACACACACACAGTCAAACATTTTGCTCATTTATAAATAGCTCGGGGGCAGCTAACCATACTTGTAAAGAAAGTGTGCTTCTTCCACAGGAGAGAACAGACGGTCATGTGTTATCCATTAGGCAATTTGAAATATGCATCCTATATTCCAAATGACATTCTTCATTTGAAAAAGTCTATTCACGTCAAGATTATAAGTCTGGGAAACATCTTCTTGACATAAAGAGTTTTATGTTGTTTCTTTATTATATTGACCTGAGGCAGTTTTTTTTAAGGTCTTTTTCTCTCTCCCTCACTCCAGGCACAGTGGTGGGGGTTGTGATTTACACAGGCAGGGAGCTGCGCAGTGTCATGAACACCTCCAACCCAAGGCACAAGGTACAGTAGTGTGAACCAGAGCCTGAAGACCAACATTTTGATTGCTTTACATGAAGATGTATTTAATTGGAGGATTTTGATTGGAATGTTTATAATTTTTATTATTATTATTATTAATAGATTAATGGTGCAATTTGTTTAAATTGATCCATTGATTTTCTACATATAGATCTACATGTTGTACATACACAGACCATTTCTCCTCATAATATTTGCCTCTGTTTCTCATGGTAGGTGGGTTTGTTTGACTTGGAAGTGAACTGTTTGACTAAGATCCTGTTCGGGGCCCTGGTGGTGGTGTCACTGGTCATGGTGGCCCTCCAGCACTTTGCAGGCCGTTGGTATCTCCAGATCTTTCGCTTCCTGTTGCTCTTCTCTCACATTGTGCCCATTAGGTATGACGTTAGATTCTCTACTTCAAAGTCATCTGCACTGTTGCATTGTATGTACATGTAAGGCATGTAAAAGCACTTATTTACTGTTTCTATTTGATGCAGTCTGCGTGTCAATCTGGATATGGGAAAGATGGTTTTCAGCTGGATGATTAAGAAAGACTCCAAGATCCCTGGGACGATGGTGAGGGCTAGCACCATACCTGAACAGCTTGGACGCATCTCTTACCTGCTGACAGACAAAACAGGTGAGACTGCAGGAAGTGGCTGTGAAAAGCAGCATACTTTATATTAAAATCACCTTGGTTGTGTGGCCAAAAGAATCACTGAGGCCACCGTGTGGAGTACTAAAATGAAAGGTTATAGTGCTGGGGATTTGCCAAGGAAGTATCCAGTAGGACAGAGTTAAGTCGTTTCCTTCCCTAGGGGGTTTTGCTCTGTGGTGGGGTCTCTCCTGCTGGAGACCTGCTACTTATTGGACCCTTAAATCATAAAAAAAGCCCAAAGTCTCTCATCCATACACACCTTTAGAGCATAACACCTCAACCAGTGCACTTCCTCAGGCGCGAGGTGTTACACGTCAGATTTATAGCCCTCATGCCCAATAAAATGATCAGCCATTACCCCATCCAGACCGTGATAAGGCCGGTGGGGTCTGCAGGTCAGGCTAATGTACGTGCGAGGCCCCTGAGGTCTTTTTGATATATGGGCGGAAAATGCTTTTAAAGTGAGTGTGAGGATATAGAGGTTGTGTATAGTGTTGAAGGGAAAGCTTCCGGCTCTCTTACCATTTTTTTTTTTTTTTTTCCAATCACCATATGTGACACGCAGACTGTTTTAAGTAACTGATTAATGTTTGTAACTTCCAATCTGTGAAAGGTGTAGAAATACTTTTACTTATATTGATTTTAGGGGACTTGTTTTCATTTAGCAACCAAAATCTAAAACACAATTTCATATTTTCTGTCAATATTTATTCAAACGTGTCACATGTAACACGTGAAGCTGAAATTAATCTTGAAATGAACTGCTTCGGTTGTTCATATTTTGGAGGAGTTTCACTATTTGACTGACTGTAATGTAATCTTTACCAGGTACTCTTACTCAAAATGAAATGGTGTTCAGGCGGCTCCATCTTGGAACTGTGGCATATGGGATGGACTCAATGGATGAAGTACAGAGCCATGTGTTCAGTGCCTACACACAGGTAAGAATACATGCATGCATCTATGACTGAATGAGAACAAATTCACTCAGAGCATTTCATAACCAAATAGAAAACATTGAGTTCCAAAATCTTGGGAGAGGGTAAAACAAACAGACACAAGCATTGTTTTAAGAAACATATCAGTTTGTGATTATTGTTTGGTTGAATGCTTCCTGACCTCAGATGACACTCTTTGTCCCCCTTGACACCAGAGGTTAGTGAAGCAGGAAACAGGATTAGCCCACAAGCGAAGCACTGACCGGACTTCTTTAATGACGCTACCATTAACCCCTGGAACGCAAAGGCCTTCTAAAAATAGCAAGGCCACAATGCAAAAGCAAATTGTTCATATTTACTTTCCACATCTGGCCACTATCACAGCAATGATTAAAACCGTGGGGTTAGTGGAGCAGCTAGTTTCTCATAAACTACTAAAACATATCCAGTTAGGAATCTCTATTTTCAGATTAGGTTTTTGAATGTATGTCTTTGTTTATTGTTGTATATAGGAGTTCAAGTGTTTACCTTTTTTAATTTAACACCACAGATTTTCTTTGGCAGTACAGATTATTAGTTCTATTGTCTACAATAGAAAAACCTTGACCACAATAAAAGGCCCCCCTTAGAAAAGAGTGTTACAACTCTTTTCAGATGATGTATGCCCTTCTTTTAATCACAGTACCTTCTGCAATTTTCCTCAGCCCACACATGACCTTCCAGCCTCCAGGGCTCCAGCAGCCACTAAGGTCCGCAAGACAATCAGCAGTAGAGTTCACGAGGCTGTGAAGGCCATTGCCCTGGTGCACAACGTGACACCAGTATACGAGTCCAACGGTGTGACAGACCAGGCAGAGGCTGAGCAGCATTATGAAGACACATGCAGAGTCTACCAGGCTTCCAGCCCAGATGAGGTATGATGGTTTTGTGTTTTAGTGACTGATTTTTAAATAAGGGTTTCGAGAGTAATTTAAGATACTTCCAAGTTTATTGCACTGGAAAAACCATACCAACCATAAATTATCACAAATTATCTTTATTTATTATGTTATTCATAGTATTTTTTTTATATGTATATGTCTAATAATAATATTAATAATACAATAAAGGCAGCTGATAATAGTTCAAATATTTAAATACATTACAAAAAACTGTTATAGACGAAATAAAGTCAAATGAAGGCACAGTGGGCCCTGTTGTTATTAACCAACAATAAAACATTTTTTGCATCTGTGAGGAAACATACATGTAGACTTGCACATTTCCCACATTTATTAAGCAGTATATCCATCAGCTTACAATTATGTTATCATACACACACTAATTAAACTTGACCTGTTGGGAAATGCACTCTTTATCTCCATACAACATTCTTTTCTCATGGACAAACACGGAAGGCCTGACAGGACAACAGACTTCTCAAGATGGAGATTTTGTCAGTGAAGGCCATTCTCTTGAGTATCTTCACTGCTTTCTTACATGAAGGGAAACATTCACAAGCCAAATGCCATTCCACATTTATGTCCTTGATCAGTATAAATTCTTTGAACATCAGGAAGAGAGCTGCAGAATTCGACTTCGATCCATTTCCTGCAGTATAAATACGGATTTCCTTAATGTGCTCCCCAGCCCATTGCACTTATCCCCTTTTGAATTTCCTCTTTGATAGCATACGTTGATGGAGCCCAGTGCATCTGTGGTGATGTGGTTTATAATGTGGGAAGGAAATTGAGCCGTTTTATTCTTTTAGGTCACACTGGATACAAATTTAAACTTTTTATTTGAGTTGCTGAGCCCTGAAAGGTGCATTGTATGAATTTGATACAATCTAGAGCAAGATTCAGTTTGCTTTCCTACAGCTTTCAGGAAGTCTTAATATAGATTTGGTTTTGGCTGTGAGCACTATGGACACAATGTTAGTGACTGTTGAATGCATGGTTTTTAACCAGTGCAGTCAAAACTGACATTTTACTACATACATGTCACTTTTTTAAAGAGGTACCTACATGCAAGTGAAAATAGGATCAGAATCATCATATGCAAGTAATGAGAATCAAAACGATGACTTGTATTATGTGTTATTCACCAAGGAGAGTTGATATCTGAATCACTTCGCTTTTCAGCTCATAAAAAACTTGTCAGCCATGTGTTGGTTCTGAGTCAAGCCAACTGGTTACAGCATTATTCAGTTCAGTTAGAAATCTGCAGCCAACCCAGATGCTGCTACTACAAGGGGTTGCTGTTGTGGCCGACACCAGATCCAAGAATGCCCCCACAGTGACTATTTCTAGACCGTGACTAAGCGTCAATCTTCATATTTCCCAACCTGGATGACAAACATTACGGTAGACGGAGCTTTTCTGACGTTAAAGTCCTCCTGGCCAGGCATTGTCAGACTACGTGGTCATGTATTTCCAAAATAAGGAATTTCGGACCCACAAAATCTGTGGTTTTAAAATTGGGGTTGGAGTGTGGTGATCTTTGATATTTTCTCTCATCTGCATCCATTTGGCCAGCTCTTCTATTAGACCTGTCAGAAGGTGGATGATGAATTGGGTTTGTGATCTGGCTTCAGGTCTGGAAGTTGTTGGGCAATGTCATCTCCCCTCTTTTTCTCCCCACAGAGATCTACAAACACACACACACACACACACACACACACACACGTTAACATTATATTAATGGATGTCATTTGTTGTGTCCTTCAGAAAGGATCGAACCAAAACAATATTTTCTGTTCAGAAATGAACATTTCCCTAGTTTATCAATCAATAGTCTTGAGTGCTGAAAATGCTTGAGTTATTGATTAAAGCTGAATGGTCACTGTGCTATCTGACATCCTGCTCACTCCAAAGTGCCCTTCACTGTTTTCTTTGTAATTCAAGTAATGGAACATCATATTGACATAATGGCTTCACCATGAGAATAATAAAAACAGTGGTCACTTCTCTCTCTTGCTGTGTGTACCTGAAAATTATATTTTATTATTTGGCTAAAATTTAAAATATTAGCTATTATATTCACCTATATCCACTTATATATATATTTTAATCACCACTCACTAAAGCCTTTTCTATGTGGTGTTGATAGGTGTCGCTGGTGCAGTGGACTGAGAGTGTTGGTCTGACATTGGTGGGAAGAGACCAGTCTTCCATGCAGCTACGGACCCCTACTGGCCAAATACTGAACTTCACCATCCTGCAGATATTCCCCTTCACCTATGAGAGCAAGAGGATGGGCATCATAGTGCGAGTGAGTGCCAAGATAATTTTGTTGCTTGTGATTAATGTTCTTATTTGGCAGTTAAATTGCAGCAGCTGTTGTGCTTTTTGCTTTCTAATGTGCCTCAAAGAAACTGAATTGATTTCCTAGTTGCTTAAATAATACTCACAATTATAATGTAGGTCAGTGCTTGTTGCTAGGTGGGTGATTGGGACACTGGCTTTGACTAGACAAACAAAAGAAAACAGATTCATATTAAAGCACATTATCTGAGAAAAAGCTCTCCTTATAATAACCTCTGACTAAGTCTGATGACTAACTTTATTTTTATTGGCTCAGGAAGCTCAGGAAGCCTGGGATTTTTAAACTTGACTTCCTCGTGATAATATTTTCAAAGCTTTTTGAAAACCCTTGTGAATACCAAAATAAGCTATGCATTACTAGGCAACACAAAATCATAAAATAATGCACGTGCACCTTGGCTCACGAGGTATGGAGTAGAAATCCCTTCTGAATGAAACATACTTCGGTCATTAAAGTAAGATGTGTGAGGTTTTTATCTTCTATTTATGTGTCACACTGAATAAACTAGGAATAATTGTTTTCTAGGACGAATCTACAGGAGAGATCACTTTCTACATGAAGGGTGCTGATGTGGTGATGGCAGGCATCGTCCAGTATAATGACTGGCTGGAAGAAGAGGTACATTTCCTTCTGTTTCACTAACACGTGATGAAGATGTAGCAACAGTGATTTTATTCCTGTTAGAAATGAATCACAGACTTGTAAACGTGCTGAATCCAGATGTTGTGTTTTCTAGTGTGGAAACATGGCGAGGGAAGGCCTCCGGGTCCTTGTGGTCTCCAAGAAGTCCCTGACAGAGGAGCAGTATCAAGATTTTGAGGTAAATGCTGTCCCGTGAGATTAACCTACAGTGATCTGAGGCTTAGCCAAGGGTCCGGGTCTCATATTCATCGTAGAACAAGACAATACTTACCCATTTCGTTTGTCTGACTTAAATAAACCCATTATTGCTGGGAAACTGCAGAATTATCTACAGTGTGATAGATATCTCAAATTACACTCACACTGCCAAACACACAAATGCAGAATGATATGTATCGCAGCCATGTTCAGTATCTCTAACTGTCAAAGTGTGTTGTTAGGTAATTAAAAGGTCCAGTCCATGCACCCCACCCTCCCACTCACACACCCAGGCCCCACTCATTGTTTGAGCAGGGCAGGGCTGTCTCCCCTACAGCCTTCAGCCCCAGGCCCATTTCTGAAGTGTATAATTGTGTGAGCAGAGCTGGTGGGCAGCAGTGAGTCACCAACTGAGTCACACACAGAGTTTGTGTTCCTGTATGAGTCACACTGAGATTGTTTTTGCTTTATCTCACTCACAAATTGCCCTGGAGCTGGAGCGCTGAAGATGGGCGTTAACCAATTGATCATGTCTGTTCTGTATTTTACAGCTTTCTGAAATATAGTAGCTTTAAGGGCTGCTTGCAAGAAAATACATGGTAGTTTGTATATAAACTGAAACTTTGATATCTCATATGGGCGTTTCTGTGAGTGTTGAATGGTGTGTATTCATGCTGGACACAGTTTAATCTCTGTGTAGGTGGCAGAAATTCTGCTCATGTATGCACACTGTGACGCATCCCTGTTGCATTTTTTTGTACTTTTCTCTCTGTGTTTGTGTCGTGCCTTACACAGCTTGTGGTCATATTGTTATTTTCTCCCCCTATTCCTGGCTGTTTCCTTGCTTTGGTATTGCAGTGCAAAATCTTATTTATACTAATCTAATCAACTCTCACTCAAAATCCTCCCATCGCTCTCCCTTCTCCCCAGGCACGCTACGTCCAGGCCAAGCTCAGCGTCCATGACCGCTCTCTGAAGGTGGCCACAGTGATTGAGAGTCTGGAGATGGAGATGGAGCTGCTGTGTCTGACTGGGGTGGAGGACCAGCTCCAGACTGATGTCAGGCCCACCCTAGAGATCCTCCGTAATGCAGGCATCAAGGTCTGAGGAGCAAACAGCCTCATAGCTTACAGTAACAACAAACTAAGAAAACAAAACATGATGAGTACATATGTTTTTCATATCTATTTGCATGAACAAGCCTCATCTAAATGCCTCCTTTAGGTATAAAAACCAAGACTATAGTGAATTAGAATGAATTTTATGGGAAGTGGTTGTTGGTTGGCACACATCAGATGGTTGATAATAAAACATTTCACCACATTCTTATGGAAAGAAGTATTTGGTTTTGTACAAGGGAACCAGAAAGCTGAGTTGGTTACTGTGGTAAAAGTCACCCTTTTTAATTTAAAGGGTCAGTTCACCCAAAATACTAAAAAACGAGTTATCTCAATTAGCTCCAGTGTTATGTAGCCATGCAGATGTCTGTCTCTAAAAAAAATTGCCACTGTGACTGTTAAAAAAAAAGAAATAAATAATGACTAGTTCTTCCATAGAAAGTAGTTCAAATGAAAACTTTTGTCAGGGTGTTCTGTGGATTATCCAGAGTAACAGGAACCTTGTTTCTGGAAAGATATGCGACTGCTGAATTATTATTATTATTATTTTCAAGTGAAATCAGTAATGATAAATAAAACCCAAAACCACTACAGTTAGGAATTATTTATTTGTATTTGGGTGATTCAACCATTTAAATCCTCTGCTATAAGCTTCAATAAGCAACCTGTGAAACGACTCCATTAAGAATCTGGATACCAATCTATGTAATTTGTGTTTTGTCTTCTGTTTGAACCACAAGTACTACAATAAAGTAAACCTTTCTGATCGTAAGATAAGTTCACAAACTTTGGCTCCCAGACAGTGCAGTTACAGGTTGCTTGATAAAGTCAGTGATTAGAGTCTTTGATCCCTGGAATTTAGCTTTTAGCTGATTTAACAGAGAGATTATGGAAACATTTCATGTATTTACAAGTTTGAGGTGGAATTTCTCTTCAAACGTCAGTGCGTCTTATGATTCTAAATATGATATTCACTCCATGTTACTTCTCTGGTTTCTTTGTAGGTTTGGATGCTGACAGGAGACAAGCTTGAAACGGCCACATGCACCGCTAAGAACGCCCATTTGATCACCCGCAACCAGGACATCCATATCTTCAGACCCGTAAGTACAGAATGGCGACCCCTTTTCCTGTTATATTCATACGAAGTGTGTAATAGTTGATTTTTAGTACCACAGGGTTCATTTCAGTTCAATGCAGCACTGACAGCTTCCTGACTCCACCGACCTGCGGGCATCCATCCTCTGTGTGACCGAGGCCCATTAGCTAGTGGTCGTTCAGCCCCACACAACTACGCATGCAGCCCAAGCCAGCATCCACAGCTGAATAAATCACCTCCCACCAGCAAAGGCATCCAAGCCACTGTCAAAGAGAACAAACAGGCCTTCGCTCAAACAGAGAGCAGAAACCAGCTGAACCACTCCCAGAGGGAACATGCAGAGGGCTCACTTCCTAATTTGTTTTGCAGGTTTTGGGCCTCTCTTGCCACTTTGATATTTTGCGTCTGCCTTCCCCTCTGGAGCCGTGCCAGAGGAGAAGGAGCGCCTGCCATATAGGAAGGTTACAACTTGCGTACAACTGCGGTTACTGGAAGAGAATAACAATGGTTGGCACGGCTTGAAAACCTCTGTCCCAGTGGACGGGGGAGTGCTGACTGGGCCTGCAACACATACATCTGGATTAGTTTCCTGGTGGCCACCAATGGCCTGATCTGGATTGACGTATGAATAGTCAGCGGTTGAAGGATATTCATTCCAGAGCATAGCTCTTGTTGACAGATTAACACCAAGCCCTGTCAGTGCTGCATTTTTGGAGAATTTTTAAGTCTATATTTGAACCTGACACAATTGTTAGAACCTTCAGTTGATTTTATAATACAGAATATGTTTTTACTTCTTACTTTCAAATTGAGATTTTGGTACAATTTTACTTTAATCCTCCTCCTTAAGCATTTAATAAACTAATTATAACACACTATAATCCTGCTGTACACAGGAAAAGACATGTTTAAGTGTTCATTCATGTATTTCAACAATTATAACTTTCCTTATGAAGACATATTTAATATTATTACAACTGGGTAATAATAAACTACATTGTTGTTCAGTATGTGTTTATATACCGGCCTCCACTTATAGGTGCCAATAGGAAGAGCTAATAATGCTAACTCATACATTAGCAAGATTCTAATAGAATTGGTCGACATAAATATTTATGATTAGTATATTTAGTAGTCTTATCACTTGGGGGTGCATTGCTCAGTTAGTAGAACGATAATTCCATTCAGTCGTCTAATTAACTTTCAGTGCAATCGTGTCCTAATTATGTGATTATATTATGATATAGTATTACAAAATTAAAGACAATAACAGAATGTCCGTGGTTAAAAGTTTTTGTTTATCATATTCTTTCTGATGTAATGCACAAAAATGGACCACAGTTCATTATATTGAACATCAATTAGATGGTTTTGGATTCCCCATATATTGATAATAAAAATCCACTGATTCGATTAGTCGAGAGCCAGATGTTATTACATCTTACATTAATTTTATTTTCTGTTCTGCTTCGTTGAGATAAACATTTAACTGAGGTTGATGCTTTATAACAACGCTGGAACAATTTAAATATGCAACTTGCTTTAACAGCAAGGAGTATCTATTGGCAGAAATATAATACAAAATGTAGAACTATGTTTTTATTTGTGTACAATCTCCTGAAAATAAGAATTTTGTTTTTTTTGTGAATTACCTTAGAATGAACTTGTTTATATCTATATAGCGCCATTGTTTCGGCTTTCCATTGTTTCGTGTGTTTTAACACCGAGTTTTGCGTTTCACTAGTAGTTTCTCCTTCGTGCTTGGAAAGGAAGGTTAAGCCTACACCGCTAGTTGCCACTAAATGATACACACTGGTTCTGGATAGTGGTATAAAACATTTCCATTTATAGTTAAGATGAAGTCATAGCCTAATGTTAATTCACATACACTTCTGTGCAGTGTATGTGTGACACACATTTCAGCTTTCAGAATTACTATTGGGAGAGAAGTCTGATCAGTGCATCCCCATTTGATATGGTAAAAATACTCCATTTAAGATTGTGATATATATTTCAGTCATTTCATCCACCCTTATCAGTTAGTCAGTTCTTTATTTGAATGTTTGGCAGGTATTTGGTTGCTCTAACGTTTGCTGAGCTACCGGTCTGTTAACCATCAGGATGCTAAGGCTGACAGATTGTCATCTTTGATAATTTTTTCTTGTGTTCTTTGTGTGTTTGAATATGCGTGCATTTATGAATGTGGTTGCCATTGCCATAGGTGACAACACGAGGGGAAGCCCACCTGGAGCTCAACGCTTTCAGAAGAAAACACGACTGTGCGCTGGTGATATCTGGGGATTCACTTGAGGTAAACTTTTGGTGCATCTGTGTGTATCTAACCGTCCTCCCACTGACTCCTCTCCTTATGAAACTCTGACATATTTTCTGTGTGATGCATGATAATATCGCTGCCATTGAAGCATCTCTGGAAGTGGTATCTGTGGTTAGAGTCACTTTCTAAACTGCAGTAGGAGTTAATAGAGATGTTGAAGATCCACAGTTGAGATCAGTTATATGCGGTGGCCTAAGTTGCTCACATGTACTATTCTGGTGGGTTTCTTGCAGGTTTGTCTGAAATACTATGAGTATGAGTTCATGGAGCTTGCGTGTCAGTGTCCCGCTGTGGTTTGCTGTCGGTGTACCCCCACTCAGAAGGCTCAGATAGTCCGGCTGCTGCAAGAGCGCACAGGCAAACTCACCTGCGCTGTGGGTGAGTAGAAAATAGAAACTACTACTACTTCATGGGGAGATACAAACCATATTTATTCTCCACGTCCTCCTCAGAACATATTCATCTGTTTCAGCCACAAACCTCTGTCACTCACTTGCACTCTCACCAGCTCTCACATGAAAACATGTCACAAATAAGCAGGGCTGATTTAAATGGCTTTATTCCCCATATTCTATGTATCACTTGATGATGATGACCTCTAGGGCTGGGGACATAATATCACATTGTTATTCCCTTTTTTATAGAAGCATTTTATGACGATATGATCTTATCAAACCTGTAGTTGATATCAGTAAAAACCAATTCAATCAGTGGAACACAGCCTGCAGAATTGTACATAAATCGAATATAAACATTTAATATGTGATTGGAGTGAATTTCAACCATATTACTCAGCCCCTTTATCTCACCCTTTATCTTGCAAATTCCACACAGACATGTCATTTTCCTTTCTTCGGCTGTAGCTCTTTATCAGGCCAAAATAATGTCTAGTGAAATACACACACAGATACGACTGTGTATTGGTGAGTCACTGATGTGAATCCTGACACCTCCATGGCTTTTGTTTTCTCTTAGGGGATGGAGGAAACGATGTCAGCATGATCCAGGAAGCCGACTGTGGCGTGGGAGTGGAGGGAAAAGTAAGACTCTCTCCATCTCATCGCCTCACATTGACGTGCCACTCTCACAGATTTTTCGCTCTGTTTCCTGTCAAGATTTCTCTCACGTTCACAGACATGTGAAGAGATGTGCACACAGATGATTCCTCTTTACGTCGCTCTATTGTCTGAGTAGAGGAAACAAAGATCATCTCATCAGCCTGCCTCTCATCAGCCTGCCTCTTCGTAAACTCCCTGTCAAAGTGGCTAGTTTGCTAAGACATGGACCTCATACATGTGACAGCAATGATGGAGAAAATGTTAAACTTTTTCGGAAATTTGCTTATTCCCTTTCTTGCTAATAGTTGGTTGAAAAGATCAATACCACTCTTATATCATCACTCACATTACCACACTGATCCTGTTATATTTCACAAATACTGAATATTATTCTTTCCTTAATAAAATAATTTGTTTAATTGGGCTTTGTGTCGGGTCTCCCTCCTTCTGTGTAGACGGCTGTATTTGCCGGTTTGTGACAACTGTAAAAACGGTGTAATAATAAAAAAAAAAAGAGTTATAATATTAATTTAACTTGACTGCGAACACATTAATTGGCACCATGTTAAGTTGTACTTACCGCATGGCGCTGAGCACAGGCTCTGTGGATGACAAAGACTGGCTGAGGCTGCGCCTATTGTAGCTTGTTGCGGAGCCGTGGACCATGAGGAGACGGCCTAAAGGTTTACTGATCACCGAGAAGTCGGCAGCCAAAGAAGCCATGCTTTCCTTCCTAGTCAAAACAGCACAGCAATAACCGGCATGTGAGAGACAAGCTACAATGGGATGTGCTGACCTAAAAAGCAGGGTTTTGGGTGCTTAATATGACATTGACAGTACAGTGACACATATAAAGTTTGGTTATTTGGAAACACAACGTCAGACTCGAAAGAGGACAAACACTTCTTGCAAAATTGACAATAAAACTTGAATATGCCATATTAAACATTCCCTTCCACACAGTATTAAGACAGTATATTAATACTAAATAATGTGCGTAATAGCATGTTTTTCTGCCAAAATATGATTTCTTTGTCAAAATTCTAACAGAAGCGCATCTACTCCTTCTACCTCATTATAATCAGAATCATAATATGTGTATTATGTTTTCCTTGCTGACACAAGTTGTCTCCTACTCCAACTGTGAAGTCCATTCTCAGGTTAATGTCCCTGATGCTTCAACGTTTCTACATCACCCTGTTTCCCCCCCCCGTTCTCCAGTCTTTATGGCTGGCTAACTGCCTGGCTGCTGCTCTAGCTTCATCTTTTAGCAGACTAG